GTTATGCGTGTGGTACAAATTGAAAGAACTTGCTAAAACATTGAATTAAACAAAAGAAACCTAGAAAACAAAAAGCAACAGAAAACAAAAATCATAAATTTTATCAATGATTTGGTGAGTTGTGAAATCGCAAAACTTGTTGCAGAATAGTTTCATTTTCAGTCTGTAACAAAAGACCTCTTGCTAAAAACCCCAATCGCTACAACCTGAACACAATGTGTATGAAAAACCGTCCTGAAGACGTGAAAGCTTAACTGAGCGCTAAATCACATTCAGTTAGTTAGTTGAAGCGAAATAAGAAGAAAACCAACTTAGGACAGCTCACTCTATGACATTAGAAGTCGTTAAGTAAAATTGGCTCTTTTTCCTTCCCCCCCCCCATCTGCAAAATTTTACAGGTAAATTTGTTGACCACCCGCACCGAAGTTTCATGGGTAAGAATCGATTATAATGGATTTTCGTTGACTAAAATGTTGTCAATATAATCGATTATCATGTCAAATTTAGACCACGTAATCGATTTTTAATCGATTATAGTCAATTGTTTTGGAAAATTTTAAATCCATTATAATCCATTATAATCCATTTTTGTTTTCAATATAATGGATTATTTTTCATACATAAAATCCATGAAAATTGATTAAATTTTGTAAATTATGACTCTAATTTCTGCAACTTTCTGCAAAACTCGAACAAACACGTTCATCCAGGGGCGACCAATATGTAGTAATTTTCCAAAAAAGGGTCCCCACCAACGTACCCCCACCCCCCAACGTCCAATCCCCCCCCCCCCCAACGTACCCCCCCCCCCCCCCCCCAACTTAGGGGACATCTAACTGTAGTACGGGTAAGCGGTGGGGGGGGGGGGGGGGGGTTGGTGTAGGATCTATAGGTAACTTTTTGTAATATTTCAGTAACTCGATTGAAAATAGGTAAAAATGAAATTAAGCGAGAGAACAAAATAACTAACTTAAGTTTTACCAAAAATTATGAAAAAATGAAAACAACACAAAAAGATTTGAATAAATAGATTATAACCCATTATAATCGATTAAAATGGATTAATTTTCTTTTGATCAATTTTTATGAAAATAATCGATTATAATCGATTCTAATCAATTATATTGGGATTTTATTGCTTAAGAAAATGTTATCATCATAATCCATTTTCAATCGATTATTATCGAATATTTTTGTTATTTTGTAGAGACTGACAATAAAAATACAATATAATCGATTATTATCCATGAAACTTCAGTGCGGGCACATTGTCCAATTGTTATGAAAATTTACATACAGATCATTAAGGCCACGACAAACATATTTGGTCTTCACACTCAACCTCGTAAAACCATTCGTTACACTAATAAGTTGAAACTGGCGTGAGGTGGGTGGGGGGAGGAAAAAGAGCCAACAAATTCTTAAGTAAGACTGCGAACCAATCTAAGCTGCAGATTAGACGAAAGGGATATCAACAGCGTCATTTCCAACCCTATAACTCGAAATCGCACAATTATACAAGTCCGTATTAGTTTTTCATGTGAAACTTTTGTTTTTTTGTTTAAAAGCTGTTTTGTATAAAATGCGTCGGGGTGATATATTTTTATTTTACCTCATTGGGTACTCATTAGTTTTAAATGCTCCCACTCAAAAGAGTTTCAAATTTGTTTTACATATAATATCCAAAATGTTTAAATTTTATATCTACTGTTCAAACATTTGGATTAGCGTCTTCGGATAGATTGGAATGGAACCTTATTAACAAATAATGAAACAAAAAATAACACTTGTGACAATCTATCACTGAAAAATTCGCTTGGCAGTGCTTCAACAGATGCAAAACATATAGTATATTTCATTAATTTCAATTTTAGTAAACTAAGCCATTTCTCTTTTAGCTTTGGTACCAGACATCAAATACTAAAAACCTCTTCTAGCTTTTAGAAATAAGGCTACCTTGAATCCTTCTAAAATACCAGCTGGCGACTTTTTCGATGCGCAAATGAAATAGCATATCCAGTAACCCAATTACTTGATGAATACCTCGCTCTCAACTTTTTTTTGGGTAGTTTTGAATCGGCTGACATGAAACTTTTGCTTATAAAAATTGGCAAACTTATTAGCTAACCTTGCTCTCATTTCTTTTCCGGATAGACCTAACTTGGCTACCATAGCAACCTTAATCGGGGACCGAAGATGCAAAAAACCGATATCTATTACTCCTGCACTGGCAAAAAAATCTAGATAAATTCCATCTGATGAGTAAACATCAATTTGGATTAAAAATTAGTTTTTTACCACAGATGCTCTAATGTTATTATAGATAACAATCAGGACAGAAGTCGATAAAAATACGCTGGTTGAGGTTCTTTTTCTTGATTTATCTAAGACTTTCGACTGAAATGATCTTTTTTTGTTAGAAAAAAACTGAAATACTTAGGCTTTGATTCAACTGCCATAGACTTATCAAAATTCATCTGATGACAAACAGCCATCATAAGCTTGTCTGAAAGGGAACAGAATCAGATTGGTTCGCAGAGGTAACACCATTTCCTCAAGGGGTAGTACCAGGGCCTCATTTTTAGATTTATTTGTCAATAATAGGTAGTAAACGATTAATATTCATAAAAAATGCTGATGATACAATACTGCTGAGTAACTGTAAAAAACTAATTAGCCAATGCACAGAGGGTTTAGAAAAAAATATCTCTAAATTGATGAACTATTTTAAACAGAACTCTTTGACAACTATTCTGAATAAAACTGATACTTTAATTGTAGTAATATTACGAAAAAGAAACAAGAAACAATTCAAGTTGGAGATCAACTTAAAAACTGTTAATAAAGTTAAATTTTTATGCGTAATAATTGACAACCAGTTAACATACCAAAATAATAAAAAAACATTCTGCAAAAAACGCACAGAGTATCAAAAACATCTACAAACTCCGGGAACATCCAATTTAAAATCGAAATTGAATAATTGTCTGGTACTTAGCCATTTACAAAACTCGGCTGCGAGTTTTAATACACGATATCAAAATACCCTATCCTTACCTACAAAATCAACTCAGCTGTGCCATTGAAGCCGGCTACGGTGTGTCCAAACTTCAACCTTTGTCAAAATTCAAACTCAAGCATAAAGTTCTACATAGTTTGAAAGACTGCTCGACTTTATAAAACAAGCTAAAAGAGCAATAAAACTTATTTTCTAAGCATTTCAAAATATTATCCGTTTATGAAACTTAACGCTAAGTATCTATTCACATAACTTTTTGAAATCAATTATTTGAAATTCAGTTTTAATTCACCGTGAAAAACAAACGTCTTTGCTTCTTATGACAAAAAGAAACTGCAAATGCATTGTTTTTAGTTTTCTCGATACAAAAAATCTCCGCTTCAGCATTGTAGTTAAGAATTTGTTTTAAAATTAGGCTAGTAGGCGCAGTCAATTTTTTCTAAATTTAAAATATCACTTGAATTTTGCCTTTATAAAATGATCGTTAAAGAGTTTATTTGCCTAAGTCTAATTCAGTTATAACAAAACAAATTAAAAATCATTTATAAGGTTCACTGAAACGCTTAGCTCGCATGTTGTGTGCTTGGTGGCTGAAAATCAAGCTGCACTTTTAGCTTAGCTTTGTGTTTCAGTAAATTTAAGTTTAAAAAAACGCCATAAACGTTTCATTTACTTCTCAAAACTTTTCATTTTTTTTATTACAAAAATTATGAAAAAATCACTCAAAAACATTAATAAAAATCAATTTTGACTGTTTATATGAAAAGCAAAAACAAATACTGAATGCAGTGTTGAACTTGACTGCACTCGGTTTTCAGTTCTCTGCATTTTGCTGAACAAATTCTGTCAGAACGTCAAAAACTTTAGATGAAGTTAGACATCTTCATATAAATATCTAAAGTCTTTGTCTTGAAGTTTCTAGAGTGTCGCATCAGTTTCACTGTATTAATAACAACGCCAAATTCATTCCAAAAGGGCCCATTTTTTCAATAATACGATTGTTGAAAACTATAAAAAAAAGTTGATAATGTGCTTTTTCAGACAAAAACCTTAGAGTAATACGAAGACTGATTTGAGTTTTTTGCAATGTAAAAATCAAAAAGTCTGATGAAAAGTATGAAACCCTTTTAAAAGATAAAAATAAAAAAAAACAGATGGTTTTGAATTTGACGCTTTCATTCGGTATTTTGTTTTCGATCCTCTGCAGCAAACTTTAACCACAAGCAGCTCAATGTAAAGAAGTTAAACGGCTTCGCTTCGATCTTTTTTCAAAGTATTTTTTTTGCAGTTTTTGATCAAATTTTTAGAAGTACTTTAAACTTAATCCTTAGAAAAAATTATCCCATGTTTTTGGTTGTGGCATCTACATTTGACTTCCTGAATGAATGAAACAATTTTTTTTACACTTTTCTCTTATACAAGGGTGAAGCTTTCTTCGATAACATGATCTGTCTAAGACTCTTGCAATCCTTTTCAAATTTTTTCACATCATTTGTCAGACAAAGCCATGAACCTCATGATACGTCTTAGTCAGGAAAATTTTTATCTGGCTGAACAAAATTAACTTTTTCTACGAAATTAATTTTTGTGAAACGAAATTAAACAATTGAACATAAAATCGATCGTTTTGTAATTATTTTTTTCCGCACCTCGGTTCAGAAAATTTTTTCTTCTGCTTTGCAGCCTAGATTTCTGAGCACTAAATTGTTCTATATTTTTTGCCCTCGACTAAATTGAGAACAAAAATAATCGCAATGTGGCTGATTGAGATAGAGGCAAGTCATTGATGATACATTGAATACTTAAACAATACTCGTTCGAGTCGCTAATTGTCTGTATAAGGCCTTCTCGTCCGGGTAACAATTGAACAGGTGGTCCAAAAAATCAATACAATTTTTTCGTCAATTCTAATAAAAATTTAATCATTTCCTTAATTCAACAAAAAACATCTGGACTATATTTTAGAATCTGACCGCAGGAAAAACGCTTTTATTCCATTTGATGGTGGCACGTGAACTTTTTTGTGAAATTTGCTGATCATCTACGCTATTTTCCGACATAAATTACAAGCGCGTTTGTCTCACGTCCCGTTCCTCAAACCAGAGAAAGCTGGTCATAGACATTTTTTCTGATCAAACCTCAATTACAGTCCAGTTCATTCCTTGTATTGATAAGTTTGCAAAAAGTATTTATTATAACAGATCGAAGATAACAACTAAGAATCTCGTCCAATAAATACATATTTGGCTGTATAAATTGACATTACTGATATCAAGATATTGAGCTTATTGTCCAAAAATTTGTTAGAATAAGCTGACTAAAGTTCAGCTTGAGAATTTTAAAAAACAGATTACTAAATCACCACTTTATAACATGGCCTGTGGGATGCATTGGGAAGCGAGACGACGGCAACAGAAACTAAACAGAAATAAAGAAGCCGATGAAAAACAGAATCATTTTCAGTTGATGAGTACTGATGAGGAAGAGCGTGAACAAAGCGGTGTTCACGGTATGCAGTGCACAGCTACTGGTGATGCTATTTCTGTTCACGGAAATAGTGATAAAAATGGCGTGAAGTTAGATCAGGTTGGTTCGGAGACTTAATTGTTTTCAGAGGTCAACTGACTCCGGCATGCTTAAACACCTCTTCAGTGTGCTTAAATATAAAACTCTCGTAGGTGTGGTAAGCCTAAAAAAAGGGTCCGGTTTATGGAAAAGCCGGGGCTGATCTCTCCCTCAGGCATCAAAAACTCTACTCACTCAAAGGGCTCCCCTTAAGTCCTATTTTAAACATCCGTTTTTGATCAACGAAAAATAAAGATTCTTCGGCCACTTCTCTAATTTTTGATCAACACAATTTTGCAAGAAAAAATGATTTAAGTTTGTTATAATTTTTACAAGCTTTTCCCACGGCCGGACTATTTTTCTAGATAGCCACCTGAAAATGTTCTGCCGCACCCATTCTATGGTTTTCTGTCCGATGCGTTCTTTGTTTTCGTGAACACATTTAGTTTTTCATTGTAATCCTTTACTTTGAAAGTTCGTCTGTTTTGATTTGAAATCCTGATTCTCATTTTTTAAAATTTATTTTCCTGTTGAGCTCGATGATGTTGCTGCTTTTTCTGGAGTTATTGCATTTGCTTTTTGAAAAGCAAGTGTTATTTGTTTTCTGATGTGTTCAAAATTTATTGCCCTTAATAGGAACCTTCTCCTCCATGCTTCGAAAGTTAGTTATGGTATCTTTCAGAGTCACATTTTTTTTTCTTTTTCATAATGAATAAATTACCAAAGATACTAAATCGAATCTGGCTGTTTCTTCAGTTATGGATGCGTGGAATATTTGCCGCGATTCCCCCTTGCTCTTGTGTTCTATTGTTGAACATTCTGTAATGTTCGTTACTTACACTTTTCATTTTTGAAGCGCATCTCGTGCCATAGCGACCAGGTCTCTAAATTCCATCTTTGATTTTTCGACATGTGCGTTCTTCTGTTAAAAAAAAGGTTCCCTTCTGTCCCCAACGCTAGTGATGACCGTGAATATAAGTAGTTATATTATCCTTCTTTTGGTCCTCTGGCATTACGTTCTCCATTTGCCTGTACTGTTTTTTCCAATGTCTCTTATCTCCCTGGCTGCTACCGCAACTGCCTTCTGCCCGTCTCTAAAAGATTCTGATCTGGATGAAAATTCATCCAATACCTTTTTCGGATCTTCTAATAACAGTTCTGGATTCACATTCTCTTTCAAACCATTGTTGTTTTTCCAAATGTTCGAGCCAATTTTCAATTGCTGGATCTGAACTTGGTGTAGACCAAAACACTGGTTTTCTCAAGTAGTTTCGGTTGTTGTGCATTAAAAATCCTGCTGGCAGCGCCATTTCATAATTTAAGGAACTCAGCTGATGTTTGTAATATTTTGTTTGTGTTCAAACTTCAAACTGTAAGTTTAACTTTATGTGAAACATTTTAATAACAGATTTTAGTTAGTAATTCAAAGCTGTTGCATAAGCCCACTGAGCGTTTCAGTTGTGTTAAAAGCAAGTAGGTCTTAATGATTTTCGTACAAAGATATAAATATGTAACTGTTAATGTATACATAGGTATGCTGGTTCAAAGTTACGGCTTAAGCAGTACCACAGGGGTACCCTACGCCAATTAAAAGCATGTTTTTTCAGCATAACGTGCTGAAAAAAGCAAACAGCGGTTTTAGTTTTTCTTCCAAAACTCACATGCGGAGCTGACTTTTCCGCAGAAGGTTTGTTTTGGTGCTTTCGAGGAACTCATAATATGAATTTCGCTTTCGTTGACTTGAGAAAAAACAACAAAATAATTCATCAGTCGGCTTTCCCGCCGCTTCATAAAAGTTTGTTTTTAAAATGATGCCTAGCAAATGTAGGGAGTTTTGAATATTCATGAAAACTACCGAATTTTTTATCAAACATTACGCCTGATACTCGGATAACCAACAAATTATCAAAACACTAGATTCGCTCGAGAGGGGGGGATACTACTGCATTTAATGCATTCCTTTCGCGAGCTCTCTGAAGAAAACTCATTACTTTATCCTACGCAGGATGAGCAGGAGTTCAGTTTCTACAATGTCAGGCCAAACACAGCCGTCACTTACCACCAGCAGAAACAGATTATGATGGAGTCTTCAGTGGATGAAAATGGTGGATTGGACTACAGACAATGCGAAGCGAAACAAACGGGAGAAAGCACAGAAGCAGCGTAAGAACATCGTATCAAAAATCTGTTGTTTTTTTCCTGATACAGCACTGCAACCTAAAAATATCCTGAGAAAAAAACGACTGATTTTGAAGAGCGGTAAAACAACTGATATCCAACAACGTTTGAGAAGGGCGGCAAACACATGTCAATATTGATAGAACACCCCTTAAGGATGAAAAAAAAAATCATTGGAAAATTGGATCGATGTTTTTTTTTAAAAGCTGGGTTGATATCCCGAGCATTAAATCAAATTAGAAATATGCACAAAATGCGAATAAAACAGCAATTAAAACCGCATTTGTGCACATAATTATGAAATTTTTGTGAAGAAAACGGCAAAAAAAAGAGAAAAGAGCCAGTTTGAGGCTTAATTAAGTAAACTGCTTCGTTTTGACTAATCATATGCTACTGTCTTGCCTTTCTGAAAGGTATCAATCCAATTTTGTTGCTAGAAACTTTGGACCAAGTTAACATCCCCCCCAAAGCCGTTTGGGGGGGGGGGGGGAGGATGTTAACTTGATCCGAAATTTCTTTGGCTCTTTTCCAGCTCCCCCCTTACCAAAATACCGAGTTTTATGTTTGTTTTACGTGTTATTACCGCTAAATGCGTGATGTTACGCTGTAAAGTATGAAGAACAAATTTGTTCACAATTGTCGATTTGTTCACCACGCCAAATTTCATTGCAATATGACAATGTTATATAAGCTTTTCAAAATTGATTTTGAAAGGGGGGAACTAGAAAAGAGCCATTTCATTTTACTGAAAAAACTTCCACCCCAGTAAACCCCACAAAGTTGTAAGCAAAATTTTGTCTGTCGAAAAAAACCGATGTTGGTTTTAAGACAAAAAGCTCTGGTATCATTAAATTTGCTCGTATCAAGGCGGATCCCTAAAAATATGACACAGCTCAAAGTTTTGACTGATTCTGCTCAATATCTATTGCACAATCTGCATTTAAAAAAAAACAACGGGCAACTAGATTTGAGGGCCGCTCACAAAGTGAATGATTTCTAGTGCGACAGACAAACATCAATCAGTTTAAGTGGCCAAGTTGAAACTATGGCGCCATAGTTCAAATATCAGCAACATACAGTAATTTTTCCCTCAAAAGTAACTCGTTCGAAATACTACAGCAAACAAATTTTTTGCCTTTGTTGTTTTTTGCTTAGATTTTCGTCAAACCATTGTGTAATACTTTTCCTGCTTGCCCGCTGGATGTTAAATGCCGTTATAAACGCACCCCGCACCGGAGTTCCATGGATAATAATCGATTATAATGGAAAAATGTTGTATAAAATGTTGTCATTATAATCCATTATAATCCATTATAATCCATTATTGTGGCAAATTTAGACCACGTAATCGATTATGTGGTCATTAAAATCGATTTTTTTGAAAAATAAAAATCCATTATAATCCAATATAATCGACTATAATCCATTATTTTTGTCACTGAAATCGATTATTTTGAAATAAAAATCCATTTAAATCCATTATATAATCCATTTCATTTTTAGAACTAAATTCGATTATTTTTGCAAAATATTGCAAATTTTGCGAGAAATTTGCAGAATTTATGCCATGTCTTTTACTACATGGCATGTCTCAACGTCATCCCCTCGCCCCCTCAAGCTTCCCTCCTCCCCCTCAGCTAAACGGCTAGGGTAAACTGG